AGATTCTTCAACATAAGCTTCGCATCGTGTTCCTAGATCAAATGTGTCGCGATTCGGTTGAGGAGGGCGCATTCTGGAAGGAAAACGCCCGTAAGAACATCCCATGCCTGAGAAGTGTGCACTCGTGTGCGGAGAACGCTCCTCGTTTACCCGGAGGCAAGTGATCCTTCTATCGTGGATGTCGTATTGCTCTGAAATACCTCTTACGGGCGACGGATGGCCTCTCCAACATCCAAGCATTGTCTCGAAGGACATTATATCATGTGTTAAGGGTGTCCGAACGAGATGACCTAATTGTCGAGCTTGAATTTACGGAGCAGGACGCCCGCTCAATATAGCCTTGGGCGCCTCAATAACGATGAGGCGTCACTCACCTGGCTGGTGATTCGCAAGGTCCTATGGGTCGGCAAAAGTCTTTGCTCGGCGGGCTTGGAGAAATCTTCAAACTGCGTTCGTTGTGATAGGGAGGGAGAGCCACTGGGTCATGCTTTCTTACATTGCAGATTCGTCGTCCAATTGTGCAATTTTATTGGAGGTTTCATAGTTCCCATACAGCGCGGAAAGTCCTCTGACCTTGAGGCCAGTTCTGTCTGTAGCAAAGTGGTACCGCCGTTGACGTCGACTGAACACTACGTGTTCTTTTGCTTACTAGGTGTTATGAAAGTTGCGATTTCGACGACGCTTGAGAAGGGATTCTTTGGGGCAAAAAGTTCACTTCTTCCCAACTAATCTTGTATTCCAAGCATCAGCTTAAAGTCAATATTAGGAAGCGGCGGCTCCTTCCATCAGAATTTGGCAAAGTTTTGCGCGTTTGTGTCGGGTAAAAGGCTCTGGCCCGGCATCAGGATATTACTCCCTCTGCTTTGAACATTGGCTAAGATTTAGACTAGTTTAGGGTTGTTTTTGTATTTAGTTTTTTTCTTTTAAGTTAACTTAGCTACAGGATGTATTCTAATTACCCCCTTTTATTTCTGTCCCTATTTTTTTTTGTTTAATTCCTATTCCCTCTCCTGTTTAGGTGACCAGTGACATCAGTTCTCTGGTGGATGCTGGGCGCCTTTTGACTTTTCGCATGTATGTTTCGTATTTGTTGTTGCGTTTGAATGATGGTGTGTGTTTGAGTGAGTATTTGGACGAATGAGTAATTTACATTTTTTAGGAAAGTTACACATTGCTTGTTTCTGCCACAATTAAGGACTGTGTGTATTTTTTATTACTAACACTATTTTGTTATATTCTTGTAAATAGTTTTGTTTCCTATTTGTAAATATTCATTGGTGTTTAGTTTTTTTTTAATTGTTATTTATTACCCTACCCCCACAGACATGAATTGTACATATGAGAACTAGTAAGGATTTTCATAGAGACAATGAGGTATTATGGTGAATGCTGTAAGAAAGAATGCGTTGTTTTGCTGTAACGAATAGTGGGGTATGTTTAGGTCAGTGATTGTGGATAGCTAAGTATGAATTTAAGAGAGAAGGCCGTCTTTTTGCCATTCTCCATTTTGACCTTATGCTACATTTTGTAATTTAACAAATAAATATCACTCTTCGCTATGGTACCTAGACTTTTTGACTGTAAGCGAAGTAATAGATTGGCATCGAGATCTCAGCAGTTTACATTTGAGCTGACTTAGATGTAACCGTAAATTCTGTGCTAAGAGTTTCTTTTGTCGCACTTCTCGCTTGTGGAACTCTTTTCCTGTTCCTTGCTTCCCAGGCAACTTTAATCTGCAAAAATTTAAATGCATTGTCAATTGCTATCTACTCTCCTCCTGATTACACTTTCCTATTCCCTCTCGTTATTAATGTTTCTATTCGTATTTCCTCCACACCCTGTAATCCCTTGTGTCTTAGTGGCTTTACATCCTTGCATGGGGTGATACAGATTAAAAAGATAACTATATCTTCTTAATGTTAAAAAACAGAATCCTATTCTGAGGGCAACGGCCCACCTAAACAGGGACATGTCTTCAGTTTTCGTAAGACAAGTAATGTTTTATATGTTTCAAAAATGCAGTAATACTGACGGAGCAATCCGAAATTGTTCACGATGTTTATGGGACTTTCTTCTTTTTACGTGACGTGTTCTTTCAGGACATGGGCCCCTATGCTTCTGAAAAACTTCCTCTCATTTGTAGACCTTAGTAAATTTTGGCTTTTTGCAATCTCTCCTAATTCTGTTTTGCTGATCCTTTACCCAAATTCTTCAAATAGGTTATGCGCTGTTTAATCGTTCCCACTTACCTTCCATATGTTCTGTGAATGCCAAACTTTACAAGCCCTCTTTCCTCATTATATTTCCTAAAAGTATCAAGCATCTCTTACTGCAGTTACGTATAAATTTCTTCTTTTCTTTCCACATTGTCTAAAACGTCGTCGTCGCTCACATGTTCAGTCCAGTCTCAGTAGCCGCCTGTAGAACCGCTTTCATAATCATGCAAGTATAAAATTATTCATGCAAATGAATAATCTAATAAATAAATAAATCGTGTTGAACATTTTTGTTGTCACTTCTCAAAATCCAGTTTCTTATATTTAGGTTTTATTAAAAGTTTATAAATATATTTTTATAACAATAAAAAAGGATGAATGCGGCTACAGTACTAACTGCGTTAGGAGAAATATCGTCTTTTTATATCCGTTGTTTTTTTTTGGGGGGGGGTTGTTTCTTTTTTTGTTTTTTTGTTTGTTTGTTTTGTTTAGTTTTACGGTTATGACTGTTAAACTTTGCCAAACGTCTTTATCATGATTGAGAATTGTTGGAAGAAGGTTCTTGATAATGGCGTATGTTGATGAAGAAATCTGAATTAAATACGAATTTTCTTTAATTTTTCTAGTCTCAAATTCAGATAATTAATAAAAAAAATAAACCTCTCAAACAACTGCTAATCTCGGATTATACTTTTTCGGCCATGTGTTATCTAATTTCGTTTGTGATGGTAGCTGAAAAATTTTCCTGCGCAAATCAAACTTCATTTAAGACGTATACGGTCGGCCTTTTCAACGAACGGTTCCGGAAAGATAACATTGATTTCGATTCCCAACTGTGGACGCTTACATCATCAGAACTCAATTCCGCAGAGCTTCCCTAAAAATGACATTAGAGAGCTGGCTAGCAAGAGCTGAGGGCAGATAACGTGCCGGCGTCCGGCTACTGTGACGTGCAAACGAGTAACCAGCTTAACTCGCGTCGAATGAGTGACATTGCGTTAACTTTAAGCTCCAACGAGTACCGGGACAGATTCGAATGGAAGAGGCATGAATAAATTGCGAAACGTTAGCGAACTGGAAAAAAAAAACGATGCCACGAGAAACTCAGGTCAGTTGGCTTCATGAACATAGCGAAAGGAATACAGATATAAACAAAAATAACTACCCATTAATTTCAGCAAAAATCCTAGCGTGGGTGTCTTCCTTAACAAAGTCAAGTGATACAGAGTCAGTAATAAAATAACTTTATAATTCTCTTGTTACTATGGTGTATTCTAATATTAGATGACGTTTTTGAGCAATACAAGAAATAAGATGAGTTAAATAAATCGTTTATTAAAATGCGGATGTGAAAATATCGCATGATTGTGTATCAACTGAAAAAATATTACCGTAGTATATGATTCATACAAGATAATACCATAAATCATAATCGAATGTAGTATCCATCAGAAATCTTAATCTAAGGAGAGTTGATCTGTGGTGACCCTAATATGTACTATATCAGTCTAAGTGGATACCAAAGTAAGGGGGATCCTAAATTAAATGAAAATAACGAGGAAACCCGAAATGCAACCTAGAATCATACAAGATAATACCGTACATGATAATCAAATTTAATATCCATCAGAAATCTTAATCTAAGGAGAGTTGATCTGTGGTGACCCTAATATGTACTATATCAGTCTAAGTGGATACCAAAGTAAGGGGGATACTAAAGTAAATGAAAATAACTAGGAAACCCGAAATGCAACCTAGAATCATACAAGATAATACCGTACATGATAACCGAATGTAGTATTCATCATAAATCTTAATCTAAGGAGAGTTGATCTGTGGTAACCCTAATATGTACCATATCTGTCTAAGTGGATACCAAAGTAAGGTGGATACTAAAGTAAATGAAAATAACTAGGAAACCCGAAATGCAACCTAGAAGGTTACCTGAAAGTCAGCAGATGCAAAATCGGGCCTGGAATAATGTCAGTGATTACACCTACATTAATGAGTAAGTGAACCCAGCCGAACGTAGTGCCTAAGCGTTCACAAGACAACCGAATAACAGGGAGATTATTATCAACGCTCGACCTCCGAGCAGAGGAGGAGATCGTTTCCCTCACACATGTTCAAGAAGATCAAAAGTTCGAAAGAAATACTCGAAACCATATACAAAATTAGAATCAGACTCCTTAATTGTCTAAACAATTTGCAATTTTTAACATACATATCCACAAGAAGACGGTGTATCAGGAGAACGATTTTTTTTTTCTCTTGAAACTTTTATTTTCTATACGCCCTCGGATGTTTTGATTGTTTTAAATGGTCATTTTAAGAATTTTAATAAAACCCAAACATCTGAAGCTGGATTTATGGATTTTCTATTCATTTTATTAAATTGGTTATTTTAGGAATAATTTTATATTTACAAGTTTATATAAATTATGTGAACAACTCTGATGCAACCAGGCACGTGCCGTCAGTAATTACTCAGGGTAGGTACCCCATGATTTTTATGCAATGAATCTACAAAAAATAATAATATTTTGCATTTTATGCATAGTAATCAGGGTAACTTTCATAATTTTGTTGGATTAGGTGCATATTGTTCCACAGAAGGAAAATGCAGCTACTGAGCTATTTTTATTTATGGTAGGCACTGCTTATCAAAACACACACATATATTCAGAGTAGGCACTGCCTACCTTGCCTACCTAGACGGCAGGTCGTTGAATGCAATATATATTATTTACCATATTATATTATAAAGAAATAACTGGGGCATAAGACCACACCACGTTGAAACAACGCTTCTCGTAAGATCACTGAAGTTAAGCAACTTCAAACCTGATCAGTACCTAGATTGGTGACGTTATAGGAATACCAAGTGCTGTAAGCTTGGATCTGCGGGTGGTGTAATGTATATTGGCTCGGAATTGTTAATCAGAGATCCGAGTTGCAATTACCGTTGGGGTCGTTATATTCACTTACGTGCAAATACCATTGGGAAAGGTAAAGAACAATTAACCAAGCATTACTTAATTTCCGCACCCCCAAGCAAGGCAATAAAGTCACTAAGACTCAAGGTGGGTTACTGGCTGTAAAAGAATGTGAGAAAAAGAAAACATTATTAAGAAAAAAGAAAAGAACTGGAATTAAGAAGACGTAAGACAACAATTGACATTGCATTTAGAATGCGAAATGCAAGAGAAGAAACTGTTAGCATAGAACTTACGGTTACATCTAGCCATTTCAGCTATAAAATGATGAAATCTTTCCGCCAATCTAGTAATGCACTTAAATTCATAGAGTTTAATTATCATAGATGAGAGTTTACCATGAAAGTATTTGTAGAAAAGGCAGAGGGAAGTTATTTTATCGTGGTAGATAAGTAACTGAAGTTGAGATGCCAGGTCAAGAACAATAACACTGCAGATTCTTCTTTGGATTTTATCAAGGATCTCTAAATATATAGCAGGGGCACTAGACCATATATGGCAGCAATATTCTAAGCATGGATGAATGGCAGACTTGTAGATATGTATGATTCATTCACATTTAAATTTTTAGAAGATCAAAGTTTACTGGAAAGGAAGAAGCCAGAAGTGAGTTCCACAAATGAGAAATGAGAGAGAAGATCTGTTATCATAGAACTTACGGTTGCATCTAGCCCTTTCAGCTGTAAAATGATGACATCTTGTCGCCATCTAGTACTGCGCTTAAATTTGCAAAGCCAAGCCACCATCAAAGAGGAAAGCTCATCAGAACAATTACCATGAAAATATCTATAGATTAAAAGGCAAACAGCAGCTACATTACGGCGGTGGGAAAGTGGCTGAAGACGAGATGTCAGGACTGATGGCGTTGCATGTTCTTATTTGAATCTCTAAATAGATAGCAGAAGCACCAACAATATTCAGTGCATGTAAACTTGTAAATGTGTACGATAGATTCCGGTGAGAAAAATTGTCTAGTATGACACAGTGAACCAACTTTATTAGCAGCAAACACATGATAAACTTCTTCTCCTCTTGAAAAGGAGAGTAATGAGAACTTTCGTAGCAATTGTTTCAATATAATCTTTACTACATCATTTCAGCGGAAATCGTTAGCCCAAAAAGGCACAATGGGTCATTCTCCTATCGGAGGGCTATTGAAAGGTACTCAGTCCAACTTTCTTCGCTCGAATCTGATGAAGTGACCTAAACAGAATTTACTTTGCAATCCCTTCTTAGTTGAACTGAAAAATTTAGAAATCCCTTACTGATTGTGGTTGAAAGCTTTCAGTTGGAACCAAATCCTTTTATCGGTATTTTTTCTGCTACATCTCTTCAGAAATTCCAACTTTGAAAACCTTTCAAAGAATTTTATGTCCAAATTCAAGAGACAACACCCAGTTCGTCAGTAATGGAATTAATCATAAATTGAATTAAATGTCTGTGAGAGAAATCGTGTCTCGACTTGCAATTTCGAAACTTTAATTTCCAAAAGCAAAATTCCTCTGTCGTCTGCCTGATCCTTTACTTCATACAGCGTCAATTCAACATAGTGCAAAAACCATCGACACACTATATACGTTATTCTCGTTTCGTCTTGTTTTTAAACGAGTCATTTTTCTCTAATGGATTCCATGCCAACACGAGACACCAATTAGCTGCTTAACTCCTTTGTGGAGTAACTCTCGCTTGGATTGAAAGTCTTTAGGCAGTCGCTTGATTGTATTAATACGAATATTCCTTACATTAGAAGATCTGGCGTACCTTTTTTCAGAACAATCGGATTTTCACATATTTTAAAACTAGCAGAATCTTCGGGCAAAGTATACACTTAAATACAGACACGTATAAGAATGACGTTGAAAAAAAGCGACCCATTTTCAGACGTCTATGTACTTAAAAGCACGTCTCTGTACTTAAAACAAATATCCCACAAGGCAAATGGATACAGAAAAATGGATACATAGATTATTCTTCTTCTGTGTCCCGTGTCCTTTCAGGACGTTGGCGATCATGTCTGTCCGCAATTTCCTATTCTTTATAAATTTTGGCTTTTTGTTATCTCTCCTAAACCTCGCCCCGCCATTGCAGATAGGTTAATCTATCACATATTTCTAATAGCTCTCCTTTTGAACAGAAGTAGAAGTTTATCAGGTGTTTCTCCTTTAGGAGTGGGTTTTCTGGTTTCTTCTAAATTCTACTTCAACTTTATTCTTCTAACATCTCCCCCTAAATTCTAAACCTTTATTAACTATCTATAGGTTTATTTATACTTTAGTTTATTTTATCAATAGAGGTAGATAGGCTCGACTATCATCCGGTTCACACTCCTCCCTGGTCTTCTGAACAGGGAAGATATTTATCCTTTGTTTCCTGTTTAGAATGGGGTTTCCTTTTCGTCTTTCCATTCTATTTCACTACCAGTAGACCATGGCGTCATGTCCGCATTATCGTCTTGCTTGGGATGAATTGATTAAAAAATAATTGCTGAAGATCGCTAGATCGGTTATATGTTGTTTTCTTCTGTCCCGCTTACCTTTAAACTGTCCTGTGAGTATCAAATTTTCCAAACCCACTTGCCCCTAGAAAGTTTAACTGTCTCTTTCTGATGTTAAGTACAAGTGTACTTTTTCTTTCCATTTTCTCTCAAAATTTGCTGTTGCTCAGATATTCTGTCTATGGTATTCTCAGTATCCTTCTGTAGAATAACATTTCTGTTGCTTTAAGTCTCTTCTTCATCTGTGAGAAGATTGTCTAGTATGCATTGCCATATAGGAGGACTGATATGATGTAACAGTCCAGTACTCTTTTCTCTGTTTTTGATTAAATTTTTCTATGATATAATCTCTGGTAATTCTGACATATTTTAATACAAAAACATGCAAATCCTTCGTAGAAAACCACCAGTGTATTAATATTAACAAAGCTTAACACGAACTCTTACCCTAACAGATTACAACAATGGAAGAATCATAATTATCTAAGCAAGAAGCAAAACTACATTTCTACTGCTTCAATTCTCTTCTTCGTCTGTGAGAAGAATATCCATCATTCACTGCGATATATGTGTTATATTGCGCAAAATCATCGACAGACATGCTCGTATTTTCTCCCATATATACGTTATTCTCGTTTCGTCTCGTTTTAAACGAGGCGTTTTTCTCTAATAGATCACATGGCAAAACGAGACTGCTTAACTCCTTTGTGGCAGTAACTCATAAACAATTCATAACACTACTCTTTTCTTTGTTTTTAACGAAATGTCTTTGTTCCTTAAGATTTTTATCTTTTGGAAGGCATCTTTCGCTATTACAGGGCACATTCTGGTTTCAGTGTCGTACTTTCCGTCCTCTGTTAAAAAAAACTCCCCAGATATTTAAATTATTGTACTTGTTTAATTTTGGTATCCCCAATTTGTAATTTGCCTGTTAAGGGTGTTCCTTTTGTTAATAAAATAAAATTATAGATTCGCATACTTCCAGTAACAATGGAAGACCTTATATTAACGTATTTACTAAAATATTAATGTATTACTGCGGAAGTAGATGCATCCCAGAAGGCATCAGTCAAGTGCCATACATGATACATGCATGGGCGATCATGTCCTTTTTCGATTCATGACTGCCTAGGCAGAAGATTCCCTTTTTGCGGAAGATTGGTTGCCAGCCCAGTTTGCTTCAAGTCTCTTCTTCGTCTGTGAGAAGAATATTCCAGTGTTCACTGCCATATATGCGTTATATTGTGCAAAATCATCGACTGCCACGCTCGTATTTTCTCCATATATACGTTATTCTCGTTTCGTCTCATTTTTAAAGAAGGCTTCTTTTTTTTTTTCTTCTCTCTAATGGATTCCATGCCAACACGAGACTCCATTTAGCCGCTTAACTTCTTGGTGGCAGTAACTCATAATTTCAATCAGATATTCAACCAACTGGGGGTGGGGTAGGAGTAGATGACTCGGATCCATAGCTTTCTCAAGGTTATGTGCGCGTAAGTGAATGTAACGAACCCGACCTGAATTTGAACTCGGCTCTCTGAGTTCTCTTTCCGATTTAGCATTCATTACGCCACAACGTAAATCCGCCGGAAGGCATGCTTTTTCTAGAAGACATTCGAATGAAGAGGCTGGTAGACGTAAATTCACACCATTTAAAAGGCAACGATGTCTGCTCAATCTCATGTGTCCATTAAGTATAATGTTTAAAGTAATATGAAATAGTGATGCAGTTATGTATAGGAATATAAGATTTATTTGCAGCCTGTAATATTATTTGATTTCTTTATGATTGCCTGTATGGAAATGAAAACTTTGCGCAGACTTTACGAAATATGGAAGAACTCATTCAAATTGGAAGACATTTTCTTTGCACAGCTATGCATTTATGATCAGAGACTGTATTTACATTTTCAATCTTTGCACGAAATCAAATTCTTGTTCACGATTATACTATTTATATTCGTTCATTCATTTTTTTTTCTCTCCTTTCCTTTTAAGAATAAGTGATTTTTATTCTCCGTTTTTTTTTCTTCTTTATCGATGGAGTAACATTTTCTACATTGTGCTATGATTGTGTTAACTTATCAATTTACGCTGCCATCTTCTTTAAACATATTATACTCGACATTCCACAAAACGTTGGATTAAAAGTGTCGCTTATTCTGCTATTCCATCTCACATTTCTCACAGCGTCATTCTCTCATGATTCATCAGTATCCTTTATTTGTTTTTTTTTGTCGTGCATAAATACAAACAAATTCAATCCGTTCTCTTCATTCGCTGTTTCATCTATCTATCTATCTATCTATCTATCTATCTATCTATCTATCTATCTATCTATCTATCTAATTCTGTTCACATCTAGCTTTTTGTTAGTGCCCCTATGTACCAGTCCCAGTAAATTCATTATCTATCGTTCTTTCTGTATATATATATATATATATATATATATATATATATATATATATATATATATATATATATATATATATATATATATATATATATGAGTTCGCGTCAATTCAATATGTCTATCTAGCTATCTAGCTAGATAGGTAGCTAGCTTTCTGCATATCTACTGTGAGTGAGTCTCTCTATCAATCAGTCCCCGTAAATTCTTTATCTATCTATCTATCTATCTATCTAATTCTGTTCACATCTAGCTTTTTGTTAGTGCCTTTATATACCAGTCCCAGTAAATTCATTATCTATCGTTCTTTCTGTATATATATATATATATATATATATATATATATATATATATATATAATATCAAAGTATATAATTGGTATACACGGAATGAATTCCAATAACCAACAATTACTATTCTTAAAAGAGTGCTCAATACAAAGTAGAGCAGATATAATTATTTTATAAAAAATTATAACATAAATATGTTATAAAATCACTACAAAAATAGCCATAATGGCTATTTTTGTAGTGATTTTATAACATACTTATGTTATAATTTTTTTATAAAAAATTATATATATATATATATATATATATATATATATATATATGATTTCCCGTCAATTCAGTCTATCTATCTATCTATCTATCTATCTATATATATATATATATATATATATATATATATATATATATTTTTGTTTATCTATCAGTGAGTCTATCTATATCTATATTCAATCCCCGTAAATTAATTATCTGTCTATCTATCTCTGTGTATCTCTCCCTTTCTCTTTGTCTCTCTCTCTCTGTCTGTCTCTCTCTCTCTCTCTCTCTCTCTATATATATATATATATATATATATATATTATGCACCTTTTGACATATTATGGTCTATGAATTTCAGAAATAAGTCAACGTCGGAAGTACGACAAAAACATTCAGAAGGTTTATTTGAATCCTATTCCTACTCTTTACGCGGTCAAAATTTGTTTGAGGAATTTAGTCAGGGTGATTTTAATATGAATTATCAACTCCACTCCTAGCGACCTCCTGACGTCAAGGAAGACGATCTGCTTGCCATCGTTGAGAATAAACCGAACATTCAGATGGAAGGCTAACGGTTTGAATGTCTATAACTCTACCGCATTTCGCCATTTGAAGAGACTTGGGTTTGTTTCAATACTCGACACGTTTGTGCCACATTCCCTTAAAAAGCTCGATACAGCTATTTCATTGCTCATTGGACAGAATTGTCTCAGGCGATTAAAAATGGTTCGTTTATGATAACGTTCTACGCAAACGAAGCTGGAAACAAACTTGTGAACATGGAAAGACCGCAGCTAAAACCGGCTTGCATTCAGTGAAGTTGTTGCCGTCCGTTTGCTGGGATATCAGAGAGATAATTCATTTCTTACAGCCGGCACAACGATAACTACAAACAGGTATTGTTGACCAACTCATCAATCTCAATGAGGCTAATCAAGAAAAACGTCCGATGTCATTTTCCAACAGGACAATGCAAGACCGTATATTGTAATACAGACTGTGCAGATGCTTGATGTATTAAAATGGGAAACCCTGTAGCAGGTAACGTAGTTTCCTGACGTGTTTCCTTCGAATATTCATTTGTTCCTATCTCTACAGAACAATTTATATGATAAAAAATTGGCTCCGTCCAGTCAGTCGAAAACTATTTCATAAACTTCTCTCAAAAAATCATGCGAAGTTTCTACGAAAATGTCACCAAGACTGTATAACCTTGGGAGACAATTGTTAAAACTAAATAGAGACTATGCATTTGATTAAAAATTTTTGGGAGTATTTAACGTTTGCTTTTAATTATCTAATCTTGTATGAACTTCTTCAAAGACCTAGTGTATATATATATATATATATATATATATATATATATATATATATATATATATATATATAAGGGTGGGGTTTAAAAAAACACAGGCTTGTAGAGTAGACGAAATTAAATAACATCAAAACCAACGAGCAAATGACAAAATTAAACACACCGCGCAAAGGCTCCGCGCATCCTTCCTGGTTTCAAACAGATTTCAAATTTTCAAATTAATAAAAAATAAATACCCATTAAAATAAGCTCCCGCCAGTAAATAAGCAAATACCTCTGGAACCTACAGAAGACCATAAAAACCAAACATTCATTGAACTCAACAGAAGAACTGACAGCAATAAAGAGACACGAGTCAACCTCGACGTCTTGTCTTTCTCATCAAATCAACGGCGGAGGCCCTTTGATCTTGTCTCCCAACTTCACTTTCTCTCCTCCTCACTAAATGTCATGTTCATTACAGTCAAAGAGAACTTTCTAACTTTCATTTCATGATAAGTGATTACAGTTAAAATTTGTGTATCTTACGTTTAAATAAATATCATTTTATTTGAACATGCAACAAACTTTTCTCTCAAATTTTTATTCAAACAGTGACCCAGGGAATCTTTTCCCAATAGCTTTCTTCTCTTGAACACCTGCAAATTGCCATGGCTTCTTTAGAAATATAATTGAGTGGCTTCCTATTGTCTTCTCCACAGTTTTGAATAGTGACTGGTTCTAAAAAGCTCTGTTTGCTCTCCTATTTAACCAACAGCTGAGTGATGACAGAGAAGAGATGGATTTATACCTTTTTCCCAAGAGCATTAGCATTCTAACTTTTATCTCATGATAAGTAATTAAAGTTAAAATTTGTGTAGCCTACGTTTAGATAAATATCTATGTCTTTTCTCTCTCTTTTTTTTTATTCAAACGGTGACCCATGAAAACTTTCCCCAACAGGATCTTTTGAAAGAGTCAGTTGATTTTTTGCAATTTATATAAAAATGTAAAAAAATGTAAAACGCTGATTTCTCTTCGATGTCTTATTGTTGGTCAATGACAAAAAATATTTCAACATTTCTTTGTTTGCGTATGTATGTGTGTGTCAGGGTGGGTGTGCTAGCGTGCGCAAATGTATCATGGCGGGTGAGTCGTTAGAACATCCACTTTGCGACCATTAGACACGGATTCTAAAGGGGATTGGTGAGGAAGGTAAATTCTTGATGTTATCGCTCTGGGGAAGCGATCCCAGTATGCGACATACCTTTTGAAATGTGCCTGAAAACCTTAATACGGGTTAAGCAAAGCCTTATGGGCGAATTTAAGTAGAGTTAACTAGTCTGTGGCAACCGATGGTTGTGCTATTACAAGATCGCAATGTCATCGTGACCGAGCGTTTGTACGTACTAGCTCAGATCAAACTGTTGATCACGCCAGAGTATGCGCTCTCTCCAATAACTGGTAACAAATGTTGGTTTAGCATAGTTGCAGCATAAACCACAGGTGTATTCTGTGGGTGTGGAACAAGGCCAGCCGCCCTAGTGTATAGGTTTGTCCGAAACCTGTAGCTGACCATTATGCACAATATATATATATATATATATATATATATATATATATATATATATATATATATATATATATTTAAATAAAAAGAAAAAAACAGTAATATATGTAATCGGGTGTTCTTATTGATACTTTTTACAAAATAGTGCTCAATGTAAATTTACAGAGCATTAATATTATAAATTATCTGATTTAAAATATGTTTTTCGCTACACAGTAATAACCATGTTTCAAAAAAATTTTAAACATGGTTATTACTTTGTAGCGAAAAAACATATTTTAAATCAGTTAATTTATAAAATATATATATATATATGTTAATTCATATATATATATATATATATATATATATATATATATATATATATATATATTGAGCTTTTTAGTTTTCTTGTGCTCGTATAAGTGTTTTTGTTTCTAAGTGTTGAAGCTTAAATAAGCATGGAATAATACAACACAAAATGTACGTTAACAAAATGTATTGAAACAAAGAATAGGTACACAATATTTACAGTTAGTTTGGTATATTCTTGGGAAGACTGTTCCTGCATAATGGGTTGACTAAATCGCAGTCGGGCAGAGTCTCTGGATTCAATTTCTTAATCTCTACTCTCTTCCCCGTCTTCCGGTACCAACCCATATTTATATGGTCGGTAGTCCGCTTATGTAAATTAGGTGTATCATACACAACACTAAGGTATCAGGAGAACTACTCACGGGACAACCCCTAGACTATTGCTCCCTGAAGAACTTCTTCCATATGTTATCCAAAAAGAAGAATTATTCAAAAATAAGATTTATATTGTTGTGGCTTTTAGAAATTTATCTTTGTTATTGAAGTAAAAGCTGAACTTTTAAAAAATGTGCCCTTCCTGCTGTCTAAGGGGGCAATTGTCAGAGAGCAGTTGTCTAAGGGGCAGTTTTCCAGCGGAGTGGGGAATCGTCCTATAACCTATTCCTGGACTTCACGTGTGTAAAAATTGTACAGCTATGCAAATGTCCTGCATATTCGAGTGCTTACTAGATAATTAATTGAGTTTTCCTGGGGTTGTTTATTTTTTATAATGTTTCTAAATAACATTCACGTTGGTTTATAGTTAAAATGTATTTGGCTTTTATCGAAAATGCTAATGTTATTGTATTTACTTCTACTTTCAGTATTGCTATTAGAAAGAATCTTTCTTCAGAAAGATATAGTCAAATCTGGTGATTGATGAGGTAGTTCGGAATACCGTTGTTAACTAGCGCCTGTTTCACAGAATTGAGTTTTTTTAATCTCCATCCGCAACATACTTGTAGGAAATAAAAGGATAATTAGACTCATCCACTTATAAAAAAAAAAGAATAAATATAATGGAAGCACTAATAATAAAAAAAAACCAAAAGGCCAACACTCAATAACGTCAAATATGAACATGGCCACAATGTGCTGACAGTGTTTGAAAAAGAAAACATTCCTATAACTCTAGATTCATACATAAAATTACATATATTTAGCTAAAAATGAAAATAGAAATCAACTTTGATAATGGCTAAAAGAATAGCCGAAACAATTTTTGAACAATTTTTACTTATACTTTATATCCAGTAAAGAAAAAACTTATACGAACACAAGAAAAATTAAATAGAAAATTTAATCACAGTCAGTCGTCTTTAATGGAATATATATATATATATATATATGGAATTCTTTAATGGAATATATATATATATATATATATATATATATATATATATATATATATATATGTGTGTATTCTGTTTATATGTTATTTTTACAAATATAACTTATTTAAGTAAATACTGTTTTTTTTTTTTATTAAATGGTATTAATTACATTTACCGACCTGAAAGTTCGAGAAATTTCGTAGAAAATATGCGCTTCTCCGACAGGAATCGAACCTGTAACACTTATGGGGAACCGTCATTTGATTTGACGTGCTGTTAATCATTCAGCTGCAGAAAAGCGTCTGCTTTGTAAAGTCCTAATTACTGTTTATAAACACACACCTTCGACGATTTTCTATATGGATCATTTCGGCTTACGAAACATATAACGTAAACAATGAGAACATATGCATATATGGAAAATCTCTGATCGTACTTTTCATCAATAAATGTATTATATACATGTCTAGATTATGTTTCTTTTACGGGCTAAGTTCCTTCAGTATGTATGCTATCATTGTACGCCATAGCCCCTTGTCTGTTCTTTCTCTAAGCCATTTTTACCCTTATGCTATCCATTCACAGGAAACTCGTTAAGTAGATTACTCGCTGTTTAAACCTCCCTTGCTTCTCTTACTTTCAATATGCCCTGTGAGCGTTAAATTCTCTCAGCCTTCTTTTTTCTGATTGTAGGTGTAAGTTTCCTTTTTATTTCTGTTTTCCTTAAGACATATTTTCTGTGTTGTTCGCTGCATTCGTCTCTCTAAGTATCTTAATCTGTGAGGAGATTGTCCACCATTCAATGAAAGGTTTGAGATTAGAAATGACAAAACCGTTCAGTACTATTTTCATTGTTTATAACGATGTGTACCTGTCTTAATATACGGGCGTGTGTCCGACTAATTAAAATCTTAGCGTTCCGACCATGAGATCCTTCTTCCTGAGTGGGGAAGATTTATCAGTATTTGACTCCTCGATAATATCGGCCTCGGTTGGAGGAGACGATCCCATTCGGAACTCAATACCAAACATTTTCAGTGAGATTGCAGAAACGAAATTGTCAGGAAATCGTCTACGACAAGTGATCGTACCGGCCTTGTTTGGGTGTACTGGCCGTGTTCCAACTGGTGATCAGGCCTGAATATGTGCTCTCTCTATCTCTTTCTCTTTATCTATCTATCTATCTATCTATCTATCTATCTATCTATCTCTTTTCCACAGACTGTAAATGATGTTCACTCTACATATTTGCAGTATCAATAGAGATCGGCTCTTTGTAGTCCTGGGTATGACGATAAACAACATCCGGCTGCAAGGATTTGGAGATTGGAGGTTTTGAGGAGCGTGTTACCAACATTTAAATGCTGTTGTTCCAAGACCCACCCGGATCCGGGGTGTTAGCACCCCTAAACAAAAACAAAACACTATGAAAATATAAAAATACATTATTATGGTGACGACATCAGCAGTACATCTCTTTCTATAAAAGGCAGGATGTGTGTGTGCACGGCCGCAATTTTCGACGGATTTGCACCAAAATTTACATGCACATGCTCCAAGTTAGAGGGAAGGCCAAGACCGACGGCAGTTTTCATGTAGTTTGCGGCCATTTTCTACTGGCCAAAGTGAGAGCCTATAGCTGGCTGCCACGAATGTTAACTAGCATGCTAGCATGCAAAAAGAATCGAAAGCTGCATTTGTCACAAGTGGGAAAAATTTAAATCTGCATGGCACTTTACTCCAATTGGCTCATTCGCTTGCTTAAACTCAACGTTGATTCTGATTCCGCAGAACTGGGTTGGGTGTGAGAAAGTATTTGTTGTTAACATTCTTTTTTCATTCGGTTTTTCCAGTTACGGGTCCTTTTATAAATCTGATTGTTTTGTGTTCATTTTGTTTAGTTCTTTTTTCGTAACAGATTTAATGTTTAGTATAGAGCATAGAAAGAAATTCGCAGTGTGAGATAGGCAAGAAGTAAGGCATGTAGCAATATCAGCACGGCAAAGGGCACTCCTTTAAAGGCAAGGAAGGTCAAAAATATTTTAAGTCAAGTGATAGCAATTGCTGTATGAGTCGTACGATTTTTGAATCAAGCACGGGCAACGCCGGGCCATGCTGCTAGTTTTAGATAAAACCAATTCCCAATATTACATATATCTAGTAAAATTAACAACATATATTTTCAAGGAAAATGACCAACAATACATTTTATTCTGTAGGTGAAGCTATAAAATTGTCTTCAAAATATTTAGATTTCGGTATTAAATAAACCATGCCGCTAAATAAAATCAACCAACCGACCAATCGGTTCTATGGATGTTGAAGGCAACCGAAACGGGTTAGATAACTATTCTAGCTTGCGAGTAGCGGAAACGATAAGTCAGCCATTTTAATATAAAATATATTAGATTTCTGTACAGCAGTTAAATCAATTAGCAATATCGTGTTTTATTAGTTTATACCATTATTAGTTTAACTATCAAATTCATTTATTGGATTGTTATTCCCTGATCCATGCATTTTCGCCTGATATGTAGACACACGCATACATTTTCGCAACCCAAAAATACATGTAGTTCTTTTATGTGGCGGGGTGTCTGTATGTGTTTGTTCGTAATAGTTTTGAGATATGCGTGTATCTACTTGGATATGTATGGGTTTAAAAACAGGCATTCGTAAATGTATAATGACATTTAATCACATTTTGTGTTAGTCAATTCATTTCTTTTTGTGTCTTACCTTTTTCATTGTCCTTTCGTCTCCTTTAACTTCAGAAATAATTTTTCGGAATAAAAGAAATGCTAAAATATAAAAACAGAACGTTCACATACGAGCGAATAAAATAGCACATAGGTACGTACGTATGTGTTCGTGTGATATATATATATATATATATATATATATATATATATATATATATATATATATATATATATGTGTGTGTGTGTGTGTGTGTGTGTGTGTGTGTGTGTGTGTGCATATAAAGCGTGCGATGGATAAATCGTCATTTGAATTA